CTCATGGTGCTGTAACCAAATAAACTCTTTTCTGCTTTCACTTAGAAGTTGAGAGATAGGCCACTCGGAGCTTCTGTCATCTTCACACTTCTGCAGGGCAACAGAGCGGGACTCAGTCTCAAAAAAGAAAACCCACAATATTTCTCTTTCCCTCCCTTCCCATCTCCCACTCCTCTGGTACCCACAATGGGGTTGGTGCCATCACATGTCATTCCCATGGAAAGAATTGCATTAAATATCTCCTCTGCACACTTGCTAGAAAGCCTAAAGTGGTACCATGAAAACTCCCTCCTTTGGGTCAAGCGTTACTCTCCCTGGGCATCTCTCTCTTTTTAGAGACAGGGTCCTGCTTCTCACTTTGTTGCCCAGGCTGGAGCGCAGTGATGCAATCATAGCTCACTAGAGCCTTGCCATCCTAGGCGTCTCTTAAAGTGTCAGTCCTTTCTGGCAGAAACACAAGAGCATTACATCTTTACTACCTCGGTGTTGATCTTAGTTCATTAGCCCTTTCTCCCCCTTGGAATTCCTGAGCAGCTTTGGGGCACTGAACCCGTGGGGAAGAAAAGGAGGGGAATAGTGGTAGTTTCTCTGTCCTCAAGAGAAGTGGGGCATCCAGTGGTCTCACCTCCTTTCCCGTAAAGCCACAATCAGCTGGAGGTATTAATAAACATTGCTGGTAAGTTTTGGTCCAGCAGACGGCAACCTCATGACCTTTGAGTTGACTTTGCCTCCCTTTCTCTCCCCACCCACACTTCTCATCCTGAGGACTGAAGATCTGGCTTTCTCGTAATTTGCTTTGACACTCACTCAGGGAATGACACTGCTAGTAAGAGACAAATGCAGAGGACAGCAGGTGGGGAACTAACAACCCCGAGGACCCCGCATTTCAATGTGACAGGTGTTGATAATCGCTGTCTTGTGCCTATTTCTTGCTACACAGGGTCTTCCCGTAGCCTGGGATTTTCCAGGAGACAATGCTGACCTGGATCAGAGTAAGAAACAGGCAGATCTCTGCAGTGCCACCCTCAGGCCTGGACAAAGGAGGTCTCTGCTCTGAACTCTCCACAATACAGGGACAAGCACTGGCCTCCCTCTTGCTCTGCTCCTTTTGTTGGGACAAAAAATCCTTAGACTTAAGGAGACACCTTCCTAGAACCCCGTGTCCCCCTTTAGACTATGACCCACATTCCAAGGACACCAGAATCCCCTGAGTAACTGGCCCTGGGCTGGCTTCCCAGAGCTGAAGCCTCTTCCCTGGACACTTCTTCACAAGGGTGGACCAGACCACTGATATGTGCATCTCTGACCCCAAGGGTTGGGTCCCGTAGGGTTGAATGTGGACAGAATCTGGTCTTCCAGGCCGCTATGTCCACCAACATGACTGGAAGCTGCTGTGGTACAGGAAGAACCAGGGCAGGGACAAGAAAGGGGCAAGCTGCAGTCTGGGTGCTGCTGCTTTCTCACTACCTTGTGCTAATGTGAAATTTTGAAGTGTCTAAGATTTCTGAGTCAAACCTGGCCTTTCAGGTTGTGATGAAGGTATCCTTGTCAAGGAAGGAGGAGAGAATGTGTTTTGTTAACAGCTTGTAAGCTTGATTTATAACGTTTAAGTACTTGTATTTAGACACGTGGGCTGGATGTGGTGACTCCTACCCGTAATCCCAACATTTTGGGAGGCTGAAATGGGAGGATGGCTTGAGGCCAAGAGTTCAAGATCAATCTGGGCAATATAATGAGACCCTATATCTACCAAA